TGGCGAACATGGAGAACCACCAGCTCGGCGTGCAAGGTAGGATCGCCTGGCGCCCGCCTGGCAGAGGAGAGGCGAGCGAGCAGGACCCGGGCTCGGAGGTGGCCGGAGGCTTGGTGTCCCCAACACCCGGGGCGAAATCGCCTTGCATGTGGCTTGTAACCCTTTCCGTCCGGCAGTGGCCACCTCGGCTGCCCTGCTAGGAGTTGCAGGCTGCTGTCATTAACGACAACCGGGCGCAGTGTGCATGGGTTCGGGCGATCACTCTGGCCCTGGGCAGCGCGAGGGGCATGCAGCCAGCGAGCCCCTTCTGGCAGCAGAAAGCGCCCTTAGATAGCACACAGGCCCCACTCCCTGGGCAAACTTTTCATGCCCGGGCCCTGGCCCCCACCCTGGCAGGGGCGAATGCCACCGCTCCCCCGGTTCCGGAGCCTGCTTCCTTAGGAATGACTGTTTCCCCTAGAGCGAGCTCCAGGCTCTGCTGTGGTGTTTGGGGTAGAGGATTGCGCCGCTGTGCACTTTTCTCAACGGATGCCAAAGCCGTTGTCTCCATTGCATCTGGACTTTATTTTCTCTCCATTTGAGATCGCGCGGGCAGTGGAATATCAATGCAACAGTAGATGCCCCTGCTCAGCAGGGAGTTCAATTTCCAGCAAATATAAACACCGAGAGCACTTTCCAGGGGGAGATCTTAGATCTCAAAGGCTGAGTGATGGGCGCCTGTCGAAATGAAGGCTTAGATGGTGGGCTGGTGGGCTGCAGAAGGGGGCTGCTGGGAGGGAAAAGAGACAGCTGGTCTGTGCTGACATTGACAGTGATGGACCTCTGACACCCCCTGCAAGGGCTAAAGGGGGAGGAAGCATCCAGAAGAAATGTCCTGTGTGTTTTCTGTGAATTGCAAAGTAAAATGCTCAAAGCTGGCTTTTCAGGCTTTTTCTTCTTTTCTTTTTCCTGTTTTTTTTTTCTTGCCTAATTGCCCTTTAAGAAACGGGTGTTACTGGTTATTAATATCATCTGAATTGTCAACTAAACTGCTGAAATCCAGAACAGGACAGAAAAAAAAAAAAACAGTCCAGAAGGGTCACTTGTATAAACATGTCACTTGATGAAGTAGGAGGTACCAGTGGCTCAAAAGGATGTTCTGGTTGGTTTTGTTGTTATTTCAGGAGCTTCTCCTAAGTGTTGGGAGTCTGTTTTCATAGGAATGCCGAATGCCGGCTCTCCAGCAGTTTCCATTCTGCCTTCCCTTCCCAGGGAGGGGGTGCTTTTCTGGGGCCATGAGCTGTGAAGCCTGGTTGTTAGCAGTTCTGTGTTGAATCCCACATCAGATCTTAACTTGGTACTTCAGGAGCGCCTCTGAAGTCTCCGGAATTGGGGCATCATCTGGTCCCGAAGTAACCATGACGTAATGGTGGGAAGGTGCTGTGCGCTGGTGTTTGCTGCGCGGTATTCAAGGTGGCTGTCTGTATCCTGTCATTTACCACTTGCTATGTCACTGTGTGCAGAAGATGCTCTTTGCTGCTACCTGGGGGTCGGGGGGAGGGGAATGGCAAGTGCTGTACTTTTTACAAGCAGGAACGCTTCCCACATGAAGAAATAGCCAAGAGCTTGGCAATTTGCTAAGAATCCAAAACCACGCTAAAGGGGACTGAACAATGCCGGTGCATTTCCCACCATCTGCCGCCTTCCTCAGCCGAGGAAAAGTTAAGTGGCTTTTCTCTCGAGTCTGGGGTCCGGTTGCAGACGGAGCATGCTAAGGGGGTCGGTGCAGCCATGGTCTGCCCGCTCCACGTGGAAGTGGAGATACTTAGCTGATGGTGACATTGTTGTCATGAAGCAACAGGGGGCTGTTTTCTTTTCCTTTTTTTCCTGCAAAAACCCACAAGGCTGTGGAAATGGGAACGGCTTTCAGGTCTCTTGCTCCTTGGAAAAACACACGGAGCCAGCAGCTAGCTCCCTGGTGCTCTTGGGGGCCTGCCTGCCTGCCCGTGTGGGTGGCTGGATGAAGCTGGTCTTGATTTCTCCTGTGTGTACCACTGGTATGTTTCAAACCCTTTCCTAGGGGCCATTTCGTGATTTCACAATCAGAAAAAACAAAATGTTCAAGGTTTGAACTCAACTTAATTGTTGGCCACATATCCCTCATTGATGTGAATTTAGAACTGGTGTGATGGTTGAAAAGAAAACCAGCCCTCCTTATACATCGGGGCGGGGGGGGGCGAGAGGGGGTATCATGTACTCCTGCAGCCACAGGACCTCGACCCAGTGCTTTTCACGTGACTTACTGTCTGTGGGTTTTTTTTTGTTTTGTTTTGTTTTCTGGGCGTTCTGCTAGCTCAGGACCCTCTGCAGAGGGGGCCTGCTAGCTGCTTCTGCTTGGGCCCCCGGATTCCTAAAGGAAAGCGTTGGGTTCTTGCGAGTTAATGTTCACACGGGGTGACTGGTTTCCTCCTGCATCTTCATCACACATCTCCAGGAGGGCCCGCCGAGGCGCAGCTCTTGGGGTTCCTGACTGTTCTCCGGAATTAGGAGTCTTCTGTTTTGGTTTTGTCTGGGTTGGTGCGATTCCATGGGCCCAGACCCTAAAAGTACTCGGTGCTATTGAGTGATCACTTCTCAAATCGAGGTTTTTTTGAATGAAATGAGTATCTTTCAAAATGCAACTGTGTAAGTCATCTTTTCACTAAAGGGCATTATGCACATATTCAATGCGTGCTCATGTACTTTTAATAATATTAGCACAAATGGTTACAGGGGCGAGTCACCTCTTGCTCTCGCTGCCAAGACATTGTTAAATCCCTTTTCAAATGTTTTGTTTAAATGTAAAAAAAAAAAAAAAAAAGAATTAAACCGGCGCATCCACCCACCATTGGAGGCTTTGCTCGAGTGATGATGTCGGACAGTAGGTAAGTTGGTGAAGGAAACTCGCGTTTTCCTGGAGGGTTAACGCAGTGTGTCATTTAAACAAAATAACCACTTGGTTGGTCCCCTCTGCGAGCTGGCATGGTTGCTATGTAACAGAGTCTAGAAAGTGAGCTGCTGAAAATCTGGGCTCTCGGCACTTTGCAGGATCTTCTTTCGGAATCTGTTGAAAGAACACTTGGCAGCCGGCCCATCTTCTCTCCCTGCCTCCAGCGAGTTGGATAAGGCCTAATGAGGATGCTGGCATCCAGAGCGGAGCGCATCCGCGCAGGGTGGCACACTGCAAGCTCCGGAGGCTGTCTCCCGGGTTGGGGAGGTCAGAACAGCCTGTGACAGGTGGACAGAAGGAGCCTCGGAAAGGCCGAGCGTTGCTTTCAGTGCGTCTTGTTGTGGGTAGCAGAGAACGGGCTGTTGAAAGTAACATTTCTAAGCTGTTTTCCTCAGCGTAACGTCTCTGGGAAAATGTGTTTAAAACCCTTGCTGTTCTTCAAGAGGAAAATATAGCCCTGTGTTTCTCCAAAGATGTTTTATCTGACGAATGACCAATATTAAAGTCACCTGGTTGCTTTGCTATGCATAGAAGAACCAATGAAGCGCCACTGTACCCAGTTCAAATAGGTGTTAATGTATTTAACCTGAAAAACTTATGCCCAATAGGATGCCATTAGTTTGTAGGGGGTGTGTGTGTGTGTGTGTGTGTGTGTGTGTGTTTAAGGAAATATGTACTTAGATGCCTTTGCAAGTGGGAGTGCGGATAGCATCTTTCTTGGGTGGTGAGGACTTAGTGCCTATAGCATTTGTTAGCATGGGAATGGGCACACGTGCCATTTCCTACATCTGTACACATTTTCGTAAGTAGATGCAGGTTTTATTTTTTTTCTCCCCAGACATTAAAACAGGCTGTGACTTCAGGTCTGACTGCTCTTTCTTAGCATCACCACAACCCCGGCGACGGTGGTGTGAATTACCCTTGGACTGAGTTGAATGTGTGAGTAGCCTGCGGAGCTCTAGACACTGTTGCTTTGCAAAATACGCCTCGTCTTTTGGCATCCCCTTCCCAACTCATCCTGCCTGTGCTCCCGGCTCCCCGGATAGACTTCTCTTTTCTAAGGAGACTTTTCAAATGGCAGAGAGGATGGGACCAAATGTGGTGGGATCTCTGGGGCCTTCTGTCAGCTTGGCCCAGAGTCCCAGAGCTCACCGCGTAGCACAGGCCTCGGTTTCCAGCCGGGGGACTGAGATGAAAGAGGCATGTGGGTCTCGTCAAGACCTGGAAGGCTGCCACGAGACGGGGCTTCGAAGTTCCTCCCGAAAATCACCATGCGTGGTCACAGAGAGATAGATTACTTACAGATCAGGACAGCATGGCTGAAATTAGTTATTGATTGGCTATTATTTACTGTCTTTCCATTGTCTTTGGAAAATGCCTTCAGGGGACCCCTTAAGTCAAGTTTCTGGTTCTGGTTAATTTCACGCTTTCAAATTTTCATGATTTATTGAGGCCTTTCTAAACTTCTGTCAGATGAACCAGAAGTCTAAGCCAATCTGATTTTCATAACCGGAGCCTCATCACATATCCGCCCTGGGTAGCACAAGGCCTGTTCTCTCTGTTCCTCTCCCCGCTGCTCCCCAAGAGCGCTGGCACTTTTTAGGAATCCTGTGGGTTATAATTTGTGACTTCTGGCTGCCAGTGAGCTGGGAGCAGATGGGCTTGGCAGGTGGGGAGTGCTCTTTGGAATGCTGCCTGCTCACCACGCAAGTCATATGGGGCCCAGAAGGTCAAGCTTGGGGTGTGGGCCGTCTTCATTGCATATCATATATGTGGGGGATATGTCCATGCCTCCGTTGTGTAGCCAGGGAAAGTGAAAGCCACATGAAGTCCTCAGTTCTTTCCAGACCCTTCCCAGGACTGGCTGATGTGAGCATTAGCGGTTGGCTTCTCACCCCCTACCCTCTGTCAGGCAGGAGCATGCTCACTCTGCTGCTGGAGCCAGGGAATGGGCTTTTAAGTGATCTTGTAAATGAAAATTAGTCCGTACTGTGGGCTGGATATTAGGGCGAGTGACACGTGGGGTGACAAGCGGTGCCACCAGCAGTCGGCATTGCAATGTTGTAGC